AGTCGAAAAAAAAACAAACAAAAAAAACAAAAAAAAAACAAGAGGGAGATAAAAGTTTAATACTGTGTAGATTATGCAAGTCTCTATGCCCAGCATAAATCTATAGCTTACATATTAATTTTTATTGTTGATAAGTCAGTGGCCCATGGGCAAGTGGTTGATAAAATTTCACTTGCCCACCTCTAAAATTCACTAGCTCTGGGTGTGGCAATGGGATTTGTCATCCCCTGATTATAACATGTATATAATAAGTAAAACAATTTTCAAATCTCATAAACTTTAATATCGATTATTACTTAAGAACACATTAAATAATAATTCAAGAAAATTTAATAAATGTAAATTTTAACTGTAATAAGTTTTAACTTAGAGAGGACTGAAGTTTTTAACACTTGTCCATTTATTTCTTTTCACTACCAGATGCAGCATACACATTTATGTGCAGTTGACCCTCTCCTGCAACATGGAATGTTGAACCACAGAAGAGTGTTCCACCACCAAGCATTGTGCTCTCCGATACTTCCCTAACAGCTACTGAAGAAGTGGTGGCAACTGAAGATGGAGTGGCTACTGATGACTGAGTGGCAGAAGAACTGACACTTACGTGATTGACCACACCAGTTGCAACTCTCTGAAGGGTTTCACTGTAGTTACGGCGCTGTGACACGGAATGTGCATTGACGTAACTTTGAATGCTTTTCTCATTCCTGTGGCCTGTGACGGACATGATTCCAAGAGAGCTTACTCCAGCATGGGCTAACACGGTGGCTATAGTGTCCCCGACACAGTGATTCGTGTAAATCACTGATAATCCAGCAGCTTTCGAAATGTTGGCCATCATGTTTCCAAGGGTGTGATATCCTATGGGAGCGTTAACATACCACACATTGTAGGCTGACTCAAAATTTGTCAGCGGCCGCTGGAAGAAAGCATCATTTTTGGGGTTGCGCTTTGACATATACAACTTAAGTGATTTCACCGGACACAGATCACTTTCAAGCATCAAGTACATCCGAGTCTCCTTAACGGATTTCCTGGAATCAACACCGTGGTGTGTTTTATCAGCCTCATTGTAGGCCATAGTGTAAAACTCTTTGCCGGAATCATCCTTGTGCAAAAGAAAGGAATGCGCAGTTAGTTCCCGAAGACCTTCCCTCCCCCTCCTACAGAAGTGAAGTATAATCTCGAACCACACCTTTCTCACTAGTGATGTGGGGTTCGTGATCGACAAAACCCCAGAGGAGTACATTTTCTGCAGATCTCCCTCAGAGATTGGAGGATGATGTTTTGTTTTGTCTGCCCCTTCTCACTTACGAGATTTTACTATCCCTGTTAGAACGTTATTAGCAGACATAAATTCTTTATCCTTCATAAGGTTTAGAGCTCGAGAGTAAGGGGGGCTTGTCAAATGTCTATTGATGCTTGCCCTTATTGACACTAAGGCGGACTTGAAATACTGGTTGCCATTTTTTGTCCTTGCCTCAGCGTAGAAACACCGCAATTCCTTTGAGAAACACCGCAATTCCTTTGACAGATCAGCTGTACTAAGCTCCTCAAAATTAATGGACCTTTTTTTCTGGGAAAGCCAGTCTAAAAGAAAAGATTCATTTCAGTTTTGATGTTTTCAGTTTAGGATTTTGTCTTTAAAAAGAGAAAAATTCATCTGAATTGTGATTAAATCAATTGTGACGGTGTACAATTTATTCATTTGAAAGGAGAAACTGTACTTGAGTTGTTAAAAAAAAAGTAACATGTTGGGTTGCCAAAAAAAAAAAATCATTTTTAGTGGGGGGGGGGGGATGAGCAGGGAGGTTGAGATAATTGTTTGTTGTTTTTGTGTGTGTAGATTATCATTATGTTGTGCTGCATGCCATTGTTTTTTCAACTGTATTAAAAGTGTATATTCAATTTTCATTTTTATTTTGTATATGTCTTACTAGGTCAGTCAAAAGCTTTACAGAGCTCGGGTTATTTTTATTCAAAATGCAATTTTGAATAAAAATTTCTGATTCTGATTCCGAGATATGAAAAAAGTTGTAACAATTGTAATTTTTAGTGGGGAAGGGGTTCTTGAGTAGTGAAACTTGCTTCAAGGTGTAGAGTGCAACACAAAGTTAGATTGGCACCTCTAAAGAGCTTTACAGCCCAGGTGGTCTGCTTGGCAGTGGTTACTTCCATGCGGGCGTTCTCTAACTCTCTTAGATTTTCCTCATTGCTGGTAGCAAACCGTTCCGTTTTACTGGAGTCAGGGAGGGTTTCTTCCATTTCATCAGCCAATAATATCTGGAGCTGCTGCTCATCATCGTTTAGATCAGGGCTGGTTGGGGTGTTGATAGGGTGCTGAAACAACTCGTTCCGAAATACTCGCTGGATTTGTCTATTTACCAAAGAGGCAATTACATATTGCCGAGCGAACATTGGGTCAGGCTGATGATAATCTATAATCTGTACCCTTTCTGATTTGTAATAATAACGTTCTCCAATCGGCAGAGGATCTATTTGTTTGTACATCGGCATGTTTGTTTACATGTGTATCGATCGCAGACTATCGATCGCGATAGGAATGGAATGCAGACGATAGATATTTTCTTTGGATGTAAAATTCATTATATTATTTTTGAAATTGTTTATATTATGTAATTTTAAAATTATAAATAATTGAAATACAATTTTAAAAATTAAATTTCATTATTTTATTCGTAAGAACACACAGTGCACAAATGTGTTGGGGAGGTCCTTGGAACAGCCGTATTGAGCTTCAGAAATAAACATTTGAGGCAATACATAACGTTACACAACATTGTTTCTGGTACTGACAAATTGCTAAGACGTAATATTAATGGTTTTAATAGGTATCAACACTCCAACTCTTTCTTAGTATGTATTTAATGTGTGTTTCTGATCTGATAATTTTTTTGATGACGTTCGTGATTTATTGAAGAATGATATCCGGCGGTTTCCTTTGATGTTTTCAATAATCGCGGTAGAATTGCTGACAAGGTCATTGTATCGACCATAGAACTTACGAAATGATGACTATAAACGAAACTGCTGATATTCTTGTTTCATCAACTTGCTTGTCAATAATTTACCTCGTTTTAGAATTGTTCATACGTAGAACATGCTCTTGCGTATCGAATCAACTGAAATATATACACTCAATGAGCATGTGATGAAGGTATATTGCTGCATACGTAAGGGAAGCTGACGATATTAAAGTTAAAGTCATCACGTTTATCATATGAAATTCGTGGTCCCTGCCCTCCTGGGGCCTGAGGGGTGGGGCCAAAACCACTTAAATTAGTGCAATCTTTAAATATCATCTGATTTACTCTTGGACATCAAGCAGTCAGACTGTTGGTATGATTGTAATAAGCATTGAGTCCTCTAGCAAAATTGTGAAATCCATGGCCCCAGGGTTAAGGGTTTTAGTGCTAGAGCGGTGCTATTTAGATTATGTAGTGAAAATGCATTATTTCTTTTACAATCTTCTTCTCTGCTCCTGGGTATTTAATAAACATACAAATTACATAGTTATGATGAGCAAGAATTCCCCTTCCAAAATTGTAAATTTTATGGCCCCAGAGTTTGTGGTTCTGGTCTTAGGGTGAAGCTCTATTGATTATATAGAGGAAATACAGATATTATTTGAAAATCTTCTTCTCTGCTCCTGGGTATTAAATAAACTAAGTACATAGTTATGATGCGCAAGAATGCCTCTTCCAAAATTGTGGATTTTATGGTCCTAGGCTAGTGTTAGGGGTTCTTGTCTTAGGGCGGAGCTCTGTTGATTATATGGTGAAATCACAGTAATTCATTGAAAGTCTTCTTTTCTGCTCCTTGGTATTAAATGAACTATTATAATTGTGTCTCATAAACTCTTTTGCAATAAAATTGAAAACCTTTAGAAAAGAAAAGTATTGACCTGTTTGTTGAATACAAAACCTTGCGCTTTGTACAAAAAAACACAAGCAAACACTCCATTTTTACAAATTGAAAAAATAAAATAATTTAAGGTTGAATAAATTTGAGTCAGTAATAGAGCTTCCATAGACATAAGTAGATCTTTCAATTACCAAATGTTCATTAATCAGAGTTATTGTACTAGAAAAATCAATATAAAGAATTCCAGGAAATGTTTCTTAAAATTTGATAATGTTTGTTCTTCATCTTAAGCAGAACCCCGAGTTAATCAGAAGCTCTGTGCATTGGAAGGTCTCCGTGATAACGGGGCTTAGATATTGAGATCCTTCACAGTGATAACAAGACTTAGATATTGAGATCACTGAAGGAGTATCATCTATAAGGTATCAAAACCGCATAAAATCTCTTACAGGGATGATTAAAAGGTTTCTGAATGTGAATGTTGGATACCGGTATTAAATCATGGTGTAGATCCTACTTTGCTTGTTTTAAATACCAGGTGTGTGTTTCTATTGTTTACCTTAATTTTTACCCCCTTTTGCATGAGAAACAATATTTTTCACAATTGACTTTCTTTCTTCTTGACAGACGAGCATGAACCTGTTCGCGCAAAGCTGTTACCGTGTAATGGGTTATTTTTGCGGGGTGATAATTTTGGCTTATTTTGGTGTTTTGATGATAGTCCGCTAAAATTTAAATCGCTAAAATAGTCAGTAATCTTCTTATTGTATATCTGCAAAGAGTTGAAACCCTGCGCCCGCCAAAATTAAATGGAGTAGTTAATTAACGTCAGGAATTGCTACTCAACGTTGTAACGTCAAAATGACGTCATTTAAAAAAAATTACGTGCAGTGTTTAAAAATGTACAGTCGCGTGCCAAAAGTGAAGATAATTTTCTCTTCTTTCTTTCACTTCCGCTCACAAAGATCCAAATTCCTGTGCGTTTTTCTCAGTTTAAAATTAAAAGTTATCCTTCTTGCATTGCAAAGTGAAAGTTATGACGTAGTAGTCTGACCCTGCAGGTTACCGGAAGTGTGACATCGTCTGCTATTCTATATATAGCTGTTTGAACGAGAATGGCAACAAACAGGCGTGAGCTGTCATTGGCAGAAAAAAATGCAATTGCTGAATTACATAGAGCGGGTATCAAGGGTTTAGAGATAGCTAAGCAAACGGGACATCCACTACCAACTGTGTATGGTGTTTTGAGACGTTTGAAAGACAGAGGGAGTATAGAAAATCAGGATCGAAGGGGGAGGCCGTCTTTGTTGTCAGAGAGGGATAGTCGGAAACATGGAACTGTTGTTAAATCTAACAGAAAGCGTCCGCTACAAGAAATAACATCAATATTTAATGAATTCAGACCTTGAACTGTGTCAAAACAGACAATTCAGAGAAAAATATATGAGGAAGGATTTCACAAGTGTGTTGTAAAAAAGGCTATCCGAATTCGTGCAGAAAATGTGAAAAAGCGACTTGTGTGGTGCAAGCTGAATAAAGGGAAAACTGTAAATGAACACTGGAAAAAAGTTATCTTCAGTGACGAATGTAAGGTGGAATTGGATATGGATAAACGTGTTCTTGTTTGGAGACGGCCCGGAGAAGAGTGGACCCCCCCTTGCTTGAATCCCAGTCGTGGTACACGCACGAGTCTGATGATCTGGGGTTGCATTACCTACGAAGGTATGGGAACAATTACTGTTATAAATGGTAATATTAATGCTGCAAAATATATAGAGATTATTGACAGTAATTGCTCGCCATTTCCCGGATAACAATTATATATTCCAAGATGACAATGCTCCCGTCCATCGAGCCCGAACTATCAAAACATACATGGAAAAAATTCAAATTAATTGCATGGAATGGCCAGCCCAAAGCCCAGACATCAATATTATTGAAAATGTGTGGCGAAAATTAAAACTTGAACTGCAGAAACAGGCCCATACCATTACAAGCACTGCGTTACTAGAGGAGGCAATTCAGAACACATGGGTGGAGATCGACTTGGATTTCATCAGAAACTTATACCATTTCATCCCCAAGCGAATCCAGACTGTTATTAAAGCCAAAGGAAACATAACAAAGTATTAGGTAGGTCATCAATCATTTTTTTACATTTTGATAACAGATAAAAACTGGAACTCGCTTCACGTCTTAAGCCAACCGCCATCTTGGAATTATCTTCACTTTTGGCACGCGACTGTATTTTAAAAACAATTCATAACATTGTAGTATTTACAGTAATTTAAAGACAGAACCTTGAGTAAATGTACTTTTTCATTATTAAAGCGGTTCACTCAGACAATTTACATAATATTTCTAATGTTCTATTAGTGTGTTATCTATTTCATCTGAAAAGAAAATTCTGCAGACTGTATGGATTTAAAATTATAACTACATTTGTATGCGAGTAGTTTATCATTTTTGATTTCGATGAACATTATTGCCTTGGTTATTAAAAATAGAAATTTCTATAAAATACTCACAAAATGCTACCCCAAATACAGTTTTAGTCTTATTATAATGTATAATGTGGCATACAAGTAGACTACATTAAGAACATAGAGACTTAATCAAGGATCATTATTCTATTTATTGCTGTTGTAAAGTTTCAATTCCCAACTGCTACTTTTCTCTTCCTTTGCTATAAGTACAAACCAGTAGAGCTTCAGTATCGACAGAGACTTCTTGTTTTAACAGAGATTGTCAACGAAAATGTTATGTCTAAATATGATGTAAGAGAACGATTCTGTGAAATATCTCAGAGATCCGAGAAGAATTTTCAACTTTTTTTCGAAAAATAAACTGTTAAAGGTATTTTACTGTTACAACGGGACAAGGCAAAAATCGACGTTATTCCCGAATATAATGACCTGTCAATGTTTTATGAATACCGCATATACTCGCCTATAAGTCGGTATTTTGGGAGTCAAATATTGGTCTAAAACTCTATGTCCGACTTATAGGCGAGTCATAAAGAGATTGGTATTTTTCTGGGGGCTAAAAGGTAGTATCTTATTTGCATTTCCGACGATTATCAAAGAAATTGTCTGGATATATATAGATAATTAATGTATTCTTAGATTATATGTATAAAGTACAAGTATATACATATAATAATTTTATTTGCATTTTAAGTGATATTACCTTTATGTTTGATAATTTTAGATTAAATATCAGTGTCATTTCGAAAAATATTAATTGAAACCAGGTTAAAATATCAACGGATTTACTTGAAATTGTCACCAGATTTTGGCAAAAAAAGTTGTACCGACTTACAAGCGGGTCAATAGCAAATCCAACCAAAATAACATCAAAAGATACAACCGACTTATAGGGGAGTATATACGGTACTCTGGAATAAGTAATAGTTATGGTGTATCCTGATTTATTTGGACGTCCAAATAAATCAGGATACACCATAATAAATATTCAATAACTTTCTTGTATCATGGCGAATCAAACGTCATATCACAAATTACCATGCTTGATTTTTAATTACACCAATAGAAAATGTAGTTTTTGTCAGGTGACCGCATGGATAATCTCCTTCCTGCCAGTATTTTAATAAATTCATCTTACGTGTGTGTGTTTATGAGAAAGGATGTCGGATTGCAGCATCCCGTCGTAATTCAAGCACGGTTTGTTTATGAAATTCACAAGAAAACCTTTGGATATTAAAGAAGAAAAATTCGAAGTTAAGAAGGAAAATTCAGGTGTTATTCGAAAATCAAGAAAAAAAAGATACCCGTTGATCATTTGACATATTTGAGAGCTGTTGCATTCACGAATACGCTGTGTCAGGGTCTATAACTCTTCATCTGTGGATGAAGTACATCTGCACTTATCCTAGTTGAGCAAAGAACACGGCAAAGATGGTAAAGCGCTGTATTACAATAGGTGTGATATTTTAATATAATTCTGTGTGAAATTCATGTCAAGAACTTGATTTCTTGTTGCGGAGGATTGAATATTTGCAGAGATCCGTAAAAGCATTTCGTAGTTTGGGATACGCACTGTAATTTATGTGAAAGACTTTTATTTCACTTGCAGAAATTTTGCCATTGTATAGCCCAATTCATTCTGTAATTCAGATTCAATATACGTGTACATGTAATTTAAAATGATGAAATCGCCTTGGTGTTCAATGATTTATTTACACGGCACAGTTTTTGCGTGTTCCGCCCATCGGTGTATCTCCAGTTATTGTACACTTTACATCAAAGGAAAAACACCGCAGCCATGATACAATACTTCTTTTTGTTACAATATTATTGGTGAGAAAGAACCTTTTATTTTCATATATAAAACTACATGTTTATTATCAAGACCGCTCTAGAAATTTAAGCTGAAAACTGATTAAACGCATTTTGCAAATAAACTCTGAAACGGCTGCATAAGAGTTCTTACTTAAGCATGTAGGGATACATGTACACTAGGTATAAGGTGATGTCCGTAAACTATATTCAGATTTCACTCGCATAGTTATTATCGTAAATTTAAAAAAAAAAAAGTGTACTTTCATTTTCGAGTAATAGCCTCCAAATAGCACTGAAGAGAGTAAAGTGGTCGCGGATCTAAGTAACTGGCATTTTATTATAAAACTGACAACAAGCAAACTTTTATTTATTTCATAAAACATCATTAATGGATTATTCAATCAAGACTTGATTTAAGTGATGTAACAGAAATAAGCTGTGGTCATTGATTAAAAAAACAAAATGCGCAAATCCTTTCTGTTTATGTCCGATCTCACTATTTGTTGAAAGTTCTAGAAAGTCAGGTGGCATCGAACCCGATGTCTAAAAGAAAATCGAGGCGAATGTTTATCATGTTTATCATGAATGGACATGGAAATAAATGTAAAGAAATTGGTAACACACTGAGTTTGTGAATATATCTTAGTAAGTTGTGCTAATGTTTTTTGATGAATACATTTCAGTAGATTTTCTACATACAGTCTTTTATTTTTAAAACTTATTTATAACCTTTTAGGCCTGCATGTACATTTGGGATGAAAACTAATCTTTTTTCAATAATTTAAAATGCTGACAAATTTAAATGTGCACATCCAATATCTTATCCGTGATGTAAATGGAAACAGATCATCTGAAGTATAATAAGCAATGATACGAGGGTATAGCTCAAAATATATTAAAATAAAGTTTCTAACATGTAAAGAGAAAATGCCAGTTAGCACCCGTAGTACATGATGTATAACAGTACAACAGAATAAATTTGCATTTGTTACATGTAAGAAGAAGAGGCCTTTAATGAAATTGATATTTGTAAAAGAAAAAAAATCCCAAAATATTAGGAAATGTGTTTCTTCTAATTATCTTTTTCTGTTCCTACACTAATTGTGGGACTTTAAAGTATTTCGTCATTCAATATTCCAGTAATAAATTGTCAATAGAATCTGAAAGATAGTTTTTGTAATAGTTCTGTAAGCAGTAAAAAAGTATTAATTTTCCTCGTGCTTGCGCGGGATTTCAGCTAGTAATTTCTTATTAGAAGGAATTCCTGACGTTACGTCTAGGCAAAACGCCACCGCCAAGAAAACACGCTATACGGTAATTCATGTTTCCTATCAAAGAAAAACAGCATAGGAAAGTGTAACCTATAAAACCATTGATGTTGCATAGACATGGAATTTTTGGCCAGTAAGCAAATATAGTTTCGTTTTGCAGATAGAAAAGTTGACAGTCGTATATCACTTAAATATTGTTAAAATGAGCGTTTTTTTCTGCAAGGCATTCGAAAGCACCTAGCTCTGCTAGGAATATGCTAAGTCGTTAAACAATCATTAGAATATGCGATACCGGTATATTGTTGTAAAAGGCAAGATGAGATATATTGTCGTAAAAGGCAAGATGACGGAAGTGTTCAGTCTGTCATAAATGAACTCAACAAAATGAAAAGAGCGAAAACCAGGATCAGTGGACCAGAAGTGTTGGGATCGGGTAACCAGGAGAAGTAACCACCCCCTGTCGACCGGTTGCTCCCGATTAGTATGTTGATCGAGTGAGTGTATTGCTCCATAGTCAAATTAGTATAAAAGCATTGGTCTAACAAGTTAAATAAAACACGTTTAACAGCAGAACGCACAAGTTACTATTGAACTAATGTAGAGAAAGTCACATTAGAAACAAAAGATTGGAGAAAGAGGACCTTTACTTGAACAGCAAAGTCAAAGATCGAGATTCGCCATGAATGTGGAAAGCTTGCGATTTTTACATATTTGGCTGTTTAACGTCCCTTTCAGAATTTTTTATTCATATTCAGGTTTTCAGCTCTGTGGGTCTTTGAGCAGCGAGGGATCAGTTTCGTGCCAGCACCTGCTGCAACAGGGGACCTCCGTTAATACGATCTTATTCGCATGACTGTCTTCATGTCCCATCTCTACCCAAATGTATCGTTCCACTAATACCTCTGTCTACATTGACAAAATAGGTAGGAAAGCGGAGAAATCTACTTTTTTAGATGTTCGTCAAAATGGCCTATGGGAAGATTAACGTACACCATGTCACCGTTGCAAGTTGTTTGTAAGAACTTAACTACATGTATGTTGATATTTGTTAGCAATGCATTCAAAATCTTTTTATATATTTTTTATTCATGTACCCCCCCCCCCCCCCGACAATATATATGTGTATATGTGAACAATACATGTTACTCAT